TCGCTTAATTCCAAAAAGTCAGATTTCGATAGAAGAGTAAGTGCATAAATTATTATCAGAAGCGTAGATACGTAAAGGTCATCATCATAAGGTCTTTAGTGCTAAGACTGGTTCGAGACGCACCTCCACCTTTTCCTATCCTGAGCTGATCTTCGCATTTCCCTAAAACTAGAACAGCCCACATCCTTAACTATTTGCGAAGAGTAATCTAATCTAGGTCTACCTCTACCCCTCCTAACTCCTGTTTCTGCCTCTAATATGTCTCTGACTAGACTTTCGTACCTGAGAAGGTGTCCTACTAACCTATCTCGTCTATTTCTTATTGGCTTCCATAGAGTTCTCTGTTCTCCTATTCTTTTTAATACCTCTTCATTTCTAACCTTTTCTAGCCACGATATCCTCATCATCCGCCTATAACACCACATTTCGAACGCTTCTAACCTTTTCTTTTCCGCCGCTCCCACTGTCCATGTTTCGCACCCGTACAACGCCGTGCTCCAAACATACACCTTTAAAACCCATGATACAGAAAATTTACCCAATTCAAAAATAAACTCACTCAAGTAATTGCAGTAGAGAGAAAACACCTTTCATCCTTTGACTATTACAAAGCCTGTATGTGAACCCCCTGCTTTTGTAGTCCTTCTTAACTATCTTAACATATGTAAATAACGGGGTTAGGGGAAGATGGATAGAAATTAGTTAGGTATTAAATTTAATAATTATTTTTTTTTTAATAAAAATAAAACCAAACATTTATTTCTTATTAAAAAAAAATAAAATTCTAAGTCAGATCATTCACTCTATTCTGTTTCCGATTTTCTGTCTGTTTGTCAAGAAGGCATTTAATGTAGTTTACGTTTTCCTTTTGCGTTCTGTTAGAAGTTGTCGATAAGTGGATAAAACATCTACAAGACCCCATCTTGCTTTCGAACTTCTGTAAAAATTTGGATCATTTTCAACAAATTGGTCCATAAAACCTAGCTCTGTGCACAATTTCGGGGAATCCCCGGGTAGAAATAAAAGAGCGCTAAGCCGAAACAGCGTTAAGCGGGGTCTTACTGTACATTAGAATCATACTTGTATGATCGAAGATTTTTCTTTGACTTAATAATATGACCAGGCTGGTTCTTACTTATATTTTTCAAGGTTAGCAATTATAAGTTTAGTGGTACATAAACAGCTAAATAATTAATAACTTTAATTTTTTAGTGAATTGCAACAAAAACAATGCAAGAACTTCTACCTTCTTAATTTAATTTTTGGTTAAATAAAATAATTCGAAGTGGTCATTATTCTGTCGAAACTGCCAGACGCGGATCGCGATTTCGATCTTTTTGGATCTCATCAGCGCGTCGCAGGCAGCTCCGACAGAACACAGA